ATTGATACGAATGTAGAAGCTACAACGACATAATACACCGTAATTAATAGAATTATCGTTGCTGTTTTGTTGTTGTTTAGTTAGTGTAGACTAGCGATATTTATACCGATTGCAATGGCCACTCGATGGCATCTCAATAGAGTGTCAGTGGTATGACAGTGGCTTGGCGTGAACATAAAATAGCAGAATTGAGGTCCAGGTCTCAAAAATGCGATCAGGCGATGCATATAATGATTGGGCCGATATACGGAGGAAGTCCGCGGGATCAACTTGATAGGGCCTTACTAGACGCGACATAGAATGGCCGCCTGGGTGGATTTTAGGAAAAACCCCACATACTCCTGGTCCTGCGTCCCTGAGGAGCCAGAGATTACAGTTACATCTCATCATTGAACTGAATTGTGACTGAACTTTTAATACGAGAATTGGCCTTCAGGTTGCAAATGTAGTTATTTTCACCAAGTGAGTGAGATTACCGGGAGCCCTACTCTTCTTTTCCCACTTTTAAGCATTAGGGGAGGAAGACTCTCAAAGAGCTACAACTCACTTTCTTGAGTTGCAAGTGCAGCATTAGTCACTATCAGCTTACCCGGCTTCTCGTTTGAACCTTATAACATAAAAAAAAAACAGTGGCACTCCGGGCAGTGGCAGAGATGTCGGTAACGGTAACGGTAATAGTGTCACGAGTGCAATGGATTTTTCTCATCTCAAAAAATGAGTTTTTCGATAAACCCTAAAATACATTCAAAAATACCCAATGCGCCTAAAGAAGTTTTCACTTCAAAAATTTGAAAGGTAGTCCTTTAAAAAGACGCTAGTGATGGTAGTGCTTATAATAGACGTTGTAATGTGTTTTTACCTAAATATTCTAAGTTGTTTATAAAATTGACCCTACATAGTACCTCAAAATAAGAATTCAATTCTGAAATTCAATGCCGCGTAAACACGTAGGACCTAAGTAAGTGCTTAATCAAAGTACAAAACAATAGTTGTAACAAGTCCGCCGAGGAAATGTTCACAAAACAAACAATCGGTTGTGAGCCGAGTAGCAATCCAACCTAACATTCCCGGCGCATTGTTCTAAATACACCACGCTTGAGGAATCGAAGTAAGTTAAGTGTGAAACGAACGTGAAATTTGAGTATTAGAATAGAATAGTTTTAGAACCACACATGGGTAGAGATATTCATCCGTGGGTGTCGTAAGAGCCGACTAAGGGAACAAACTACGCAGAACAACAGCACAGCGAAAAGAAGGAAAACTTGAAACAAAAACCTATATCAACCCGTCTGACCAGCGTGGTATAGTAGGCCAAAACCTCCTTTCTAAGGAGAGTCCTATGTCCAGCAGTGGACTGTTATAGGCTGGTGATGATGGGTAGAGATACATACACACATATTTACCGTAGGGCTTACCTACGGTAAATATGCGTTGTCCTTAACCGTGTTGTCACCACACGGTGACGGATTAAGAATAAAGAGTGTCACCACCCCTATTCATCCCGTGGAAGTCGTACCCGAGACCTCAGCATAGCAGTCGCATACACTACTACCGAGGCAGTCTAGTATTTATTGTTAACCTCTTCAGCTAGTGAGAGAGCCTTGCTTCAGTGATACCACGGCCTCACAGAAAACCGATGTTAAGGAGTTGGCTCCTGACTCCTTGGTTGCAGATGTCCATGAACGGCGGTAGTCACTTACCCGTGACTCGCTTGTGGTGACCCCTTTGCTCGTTTGCCTCCCTATGCCATAAAAAATGCTAAATGCTCGTGTGAGGAGTAGAGCATCCATGTGGTGACGGATTAAGAATACGCAGTGTCACCACTCCTATTCATCCCGTGGGAGTCGTAAGAGCCGACTAAGGTAGCAAACTACGCAAGACAACAGCACTGCAAAGAGAAAGAGAAAACTTGAAACAAACCATAAACCAACTCGTCTGACCAGAGTAATATAGTAGGCCAAAACCTCCTTTCTTAGGAGAGGCCTATGTTCTGCAATGGACTATTGAAGGCTGTTGATGATGATGATTGATGAAGCAGCCTTGGGAATTATTTAATTTTACATATATAATTTGTGTTCCTGTGAGTATTCCCTTTCTTTGATATAAGTACGGCCAAATTGTCACAGACCTCGTGATTCAGAACTATTCACATAATATAATTGTTAATTGAAATTGACTTACTGTTCTTGTTCATAGTAAGTCAGTTAAAATGCGAGTGGTTGGTCTGCGTTCTAGTGGCACGTGCCGACCGCAATAACATTGTGACGTTTATATGACTTTTGAACTTTCCACTGCGCTTGCGCAGCTCCGTAGCAATAGCGTGAAAATATAGTCTTTTTTTAAATGTCTGTAGATTATTACAGGCTTTTAAACTATATAAACTTTGTGAAATTAAATGACCATAAATAATAGATCTATAACCTCAGTAAATCTCCATTTCTATAGATCTTGGAATCAGAGGCACTCCGAGCATCTCCACCCGAAAAAATACTGCCGATAGTTCATTTAGCTTACTGTTCTTTTCTTGATCTGAGGAGATTGGTTACAGCAGCTCCCTTGGAGGAACTTGGGTATGGATCACAAGAGACACTGTACAGGGAGTTTTACCATTGGAAGACACGTTTGAAAAAATCGTGGTCAAACAATTTACAAGCATGACTGACAACTATAGTTTAATGAACATAAAAACCAATCAAATTAAGTATGTGTGATGAGATGAAAGTGATGAGTTCCAAGGCCCTTCGACTTTCAGCTGCAAAATAAATCCACCATCAGATGATTTCCAAGATCCAAGACGTTAGATATTTTGTCGTTTACTTATTTTTTCTATGTTAGAGGGGGCAGACGAGCCAATCAATCATTCAAAAATAAAATAATAGAGTTCCTCCTAAATGTAGTTGGCCAAAACTTTACCTCCTTTCTAAGGAGAGGCTTATGTCCAGCAGTGGACTGTTAAAGCTGTTGATGAATATGAAAAGCTTTACATATATGTAATTGTGTATGTAAACTAAAACAAATAGATTGTCGATACACCCTCTAAGGCGCAAGACGCGTACAAAAATATAAATTGGAAAATTTATTATTCATTTGGCAACCTATATCACCCTTATTATCGTTTAATTATTATTGTTATTAGTATCATTTAATTTTTTTTTATTATTTTATTGATTATTATTGACATTTAAAAATAAAGATCTTTAATTGTAATTAATTATTATAAATATGAGAGAGAGAGAAGCTAAACTGTTATCATCCTATGGGAGCTACAATTGCCAACAAACTGCTTTGTAGTTTGGCAGTAGTAAAAAAATTACCTTCAAAAATGTATATCCCTACTGTGAATAAACACTTTTTGTTTTTCTTTCTTTTGGTCTTATTGCGATACTCAATTATTATACATAGGTTAAAATTATCTGCCAAGATTTCTTTATCTAGTTAGGTACGATCTTAGTTCTATCTTTGTACACAATTTAACACAATTATTATGACCTAACTGACATCTCCATTGTTTGATAAACATCTCATCTTGTGCTTGTTATAATTACGTTTCAATGTGAATTATGTCAAATGTGAAGTCTGTAGCCAAGGTATCTGTAATCTGAAGTGTCAATAGTCATGTATCATTGTGATCATCAAATGGGTCGGCCAAATGTTTGTATGATCTGCAAATGTTTGTTTCGGAGTTTGAGTGTGTTCTATGTAAGTAGTATATTTAAGTATTCTATCAGTCAATCTAGTTTTCGTACTACAAGCTTTGCTTAGTTTGAACCTAGATGGCGTTGCGTGTCAGATGTCCGAAATATTATTATTATTTTTATATCATATAAAATAATACACTTGTTGACATTTAAAATGCAAAGGTTGGAATGCAACAAGATTGAAAACGTTTCCATGAGTCACAGCGGGACCCGCCTTATAATCAATTCTCATGTGACATTTGAAGTGTCAGATTAAAAAAAGTAATTTTTACTTCCTTATTACAACTGTCTGGTTTGGGAGAGAGTTATCAATAACATTATTAGTACTTGTGAATTGTTTGGATCAATTTACAGCCCAACTCAATTTCACTAAATGACTAAACAGCAAGAAAATTGTAAATGTTAGTTAAGGGCTATCAAATCTGTAATTACAGCTGTTTTATTCTATATTGGCCCTCAAAGGAAGAAAGCACAGTAGATAATACACAGATGACTTTAGATAATAGTTGTAATATACTTATACTTTTGTACGGGTAAAACGTGGGAGCTGTTGACGACATATGTACATTATTTATAAGCCCATAAAGCTACTACGAGGGAACTTCACCTACACGATATATCCAAACAAAACTTAATAATAAAGGTAGGCCTATGTAATAGCCCTTTCCGATAGTAGACATTGATTGAATATTTAACTAAGTGTGAATTGGGGGCAAATGATCACTAAATCTATAGTATGATCAGTATGGCAAAGTCATAGGTACTAGTAATGCATCCACCATGATCGCATATAAATAATTCATATTTAAACTATCCTAAATAAATCAAAATGAAATTAACTTTATCTCCAGATCCGATCAAACGCGGAGCGTCTAGACCTTATCTGAAATGTAATGCAAATGCATTTAATAAAGAAACCATTTACGAAATCCTCCGCTGTGAAATATTTCAAGTAATTGTTACGTAAGATATGAGAAATCAATTTGTCTGGCAAAACTCTAAACTTGGAGAAAAAATAAACGATACGAGTACATCTGATAGTTCGCTACTGATTAAAGGTTCTCGTACATGCTTGCAAAGAGTAGGCTTTTTTATATATAACTAAAATGAACATGTAGCCAGCAAGCCAGGATTGATTGATATCGAGAAAAAAAAATGAGTTACAGTTTCACCCAACATAGGTCTGAATTAGCCCATATTTACACATTAAAAAAAAATATGACCAAAATATAAATTTGAAACATTTAGTAGGACAAATAATTTAAAAAGTTATATGATTTTTTCACTTAAATATAAGTAAAATTAAAGTAAAGTATAAACACCTTTGAAGCCATTCTTAAACAAATTTTCGTATCCCGTTCCATTTTCTAATGTTCCTGTAACTATAGTTTTGACTAAGTAACCGTTGATATCGTTTTTTTTAAAGTTAATAGCTTTAAATATGATATTTATAAATTTTCTTATTGCCATTTTGTAAAGATGTACATCAGTTTTGTCATTGTTGAGTGCGAAATTTTCCATTGCTGTGCCCCAATCTCTTATAGCTTTGATGGTAGCATAGATGTCAAAAGATAACTTATCGCCATGGTCGAAATAAAATGCCTTATCCATAGTATCTAATATTGCACGTGCAGATTGAATCCTTATTTGCTGCTTATAATCTGGAGCAAAATATAGAATATGCCTTTTCTTAATGAGGTTTTGTAAAACCATTATTGATTGTTTCATGTTGTATGTATTTGTAAAAAGCATTTTTACTAGTAAGACAGTTTTAGGATCTGATTTAATAAGTTTCAAGAAATTATTATTGTTTCTCACAAGCTCACTTAGTAAATTTATAATCATGCCTATTTCAGTATCTGGTAGAAGTAGAATTTCGTCAATAAAGTATTCAAAATTATGAGTAAATGGTGAATACGGTACACAAATACCATAGTTTTTGCATAAATATAACAGTTCATCTCTTTTCAAACTTACAGTACGCTTGAAAATAGTTTGATGCAGTTCCAAAACAATATTGCCGTATAAATCTTGGGAGTTTTTCCTCGCTTCTACATTTTGAAGAAAACGTTTTTGTTCCACAAAGATAAGCTTACAACTTGTTTCTAATAAATCCTTGAACATATATACATCATCGATACCAAATTCTTGGTCTAATCTAGCGACGAAGTCTCGAGAGCTTTTTATATTTTTCTTGAAATTTTCGATTGAAGACTTGATATTCAGTTTATCATCTTCTTTAAAGCCATATACTTTTATTATAAGCTTGCTTAGATCTTTCAATAATACACTTCCTCTCTTTTGAATATCATCAGCGTACTCTTTAAACTCTTCTAATTTACTCCCTTTGGAGATTTCTCTCATTATTGTAAACGGGGCGGTTATGTTAGGTCCTGAAAATGTATCTTGTGCGCCTTCCTCTTTATTTAATTCTAATGATGTAGATAAAACTAGAACTGAAAATAAATTTTACATTTAGCATCAAATTTCTGACCTAATTCTGTTTAATTCTATTTCTGATTAGGATTACGGATAAGAAGGAAGTCAGAAGACTGGGTTGCAAAAATCTGAATGTAAATACTGATGTTGTAAACATCATATTATTGTCTTCTGGACTGTGGCTGCAGTTACTCAAAGAAGCCATGAGCACGTATCTACCTATATGTCAGTCCCATGTCTAGAGAAGCCGTTTGCATTGGGAAATCAATTGACCTTGGATATTATATTAATAATTATTTATCTGAAAGTTTATACAGATTTTACAAGAGAACATAATATATTGCATCTAAATTCAAGATGCAAATTCAAGCTTTTGTGAAAACTACCGAAAATATATTTGTAAATAAGAAATAATCGGTAATAATTGATGAGGTACTATACCTGAATACCACTATCGGTGCAGTTTAAACGAAACGTTGGGAAACCAAAAGGTTTAATAAGTATAAAACATTTAATAAGTATTATAGTAATATTCACAATCAAATATAATTAAAACTTACCTAGCATTGATATGAAAAACGTAATTCGATACATTATATAAACTAAAATTCTTGATAGTAATGTAGTAAATAATATTTAATCGCCAACCAATGGGACGTCATCAAAACAATTTGTTCAGGTTGTTTCCTTTTTAATTAGGAAGACAATTTAAGCGAATATTACAAATATAAAGGTTTCTCATTATACCATGATGACCCTCAGAAGCAGTGCCTTTTATTCGGTTAAATGACTATGTATTAAATGAAATGTTTATAGGAAAAATATGTATCTACCACATATTCATTCAAATTTAACACTGTGTCAATTACATATTGAGTTGCGGACGTTCATGGCCGGCGATGGTTACTTTCCATCAGGTGACCCGGCTGCTCGTCTGCCCCCTCTAACATAAAAAAAAAAAAACAAAAAATACACTTGAAAAGTTATTTAATAATTAAAGCATATACCGCCTTGTCAAGTTTGCCGCCTTGACAAAAGTGCAATGCATAGCAAGCTCAAACAGACTGTCTTCAGAAATTAAACACAACTACATTAAGTTCTTACCAATAAGCAATCATGAAATGCAATATATTACCAATATGCAATACCAATAAGCAATCATGAAACCAGATAACTCCAGTTTTGTTTCTTTATTTAAAAAGACGACTCCTGCATTAGGAATATATCTTGTGTCGCGGGGGACTTTACAAACATACATGAAACGGACATAAAGAACACCCAGAAATGGACACAAAGAACTTCCACAAATTGTTGTTCTGAGAACAACAATTTGTGGATCACACAAAAGGTCATCTCATGTGAGGATCGGACCCACAACAATCAGCTTAGTAGTAAGCGGCGAGTACGCCATCCGTGCAGTCATTGCAAGTAAAAAATCATTACAACTCTTATATTGTCTGTTCTGTCGAAGGTTAGGTAAATAAAAACAGTAGTAATAGACATGTTTTATATTTATTGAAAAGACGCAACTAAGTATACATATGTAGAACAGCGGTGTGATACCATAGCTTCATATGAAACCGGCAGCTGGGCAACGTAAGTCACTATCAGGTGACCTGAAGTGAGATATCTGATTGTTTGTACATTATTATGTAAAAGACTGTTATATTACCAAGTACTCTAATCAATCCATGTTACTGCTTTGATTAATGTACTTTTCACCGGATTGTTAATAGAATTAATTGTTTTAAGTATGGCGTTAATCAATTGCTCCAGAAGTCCTCTATCCAACTGTGCTTTATTTTTACCCCATTTTTTAATTACCTCGTCAAATTCCTCGAAATTGAGAACAATACTTTTGTCACGATTGAAAAGGAATGCTTTATCAATAATATCTAAAAGAACTTGGGTTGCCTGACTTTTAGTATTTGATTGCGATTGAGAAATTTTGAATTTATGGCTTAGAATCCCTCTTACTGAGGTCAGAGATTCTTTGAGACTTTTATTTCGACACAGATCGTTTATCCTTTTAAATGTCTTGTCTTTACCTTGTATTCCACCTACTAGTGCCAAAAAGTCTTTATTATTTTCTACTATATTCTTCACATGATCAACAAAAATATTTAATTTACTGTCAGGGAGTTTCAATAATTCAAGTATTAGATACTCCACGCGGTTCGAAAATGCTGGATACGGTTTGCAAATCTGAAAGGTGCTACAAATATATTGCATTTCTTCTTTCCTCCATTGTTTTATTTGGCCATTGATAAATTTGCTTAATTTCTGAATCCTGCTAATATTTGCTTTAGTAGAATTCATTGGTGTTGTGCTTAAAAGTATCCATTGCTGTTGATAGAGTATTTCACATGCTTTTTCTAACATATTCATTATCATAAACTCCTCACCAACAGGCTGACTTGAATGTCTGCCATGGTTTTCTTTAAGGTGGTCTAAGAACTCTTGTACCTTACTCACATAATCTGAGGTCACAGAGTAGACTGCTAATGAATTCTCATTTCCAACTTGGTTTAAAATTTTTGTTGCTGAATATTTAATGATGTTCATACCTTGCTTCATGACATGCTTTGAATAATCATTTAGTCTATCAGTCTCGTAAGTGTGGAACGGAGCCGGTGATATGGGTAAGGGTGCAAAGAATTTTTTGGGGACTTTAGATTTGACATCTGGCGATTTAGGTATTTGAGTTGTTTTTTTGTTATGTTTGCCTGACTTGAGAGTTCCTATGGCATTTCCACCATATGACGGATAAATAAACAACCCTTAAAATTAAAAAAAATATATTCATACAAAAAACGTATACAGCGTTATCTTTACCTTGCCTTATATATTATCACCCCACACACTTTACATTTTTTTAAGGAAATTCCTCTTCGTGACGATCGAGTAAATGTGAAATAAACTCGCACTTGGACCTCTGACCCCAAACCTGATAGAGCCTGTACTATGGTAACCATACTGCTGATCATCATCAACAGCCTTTAACAGTCCACTGCTGGACATAAGCCTCTCCTTAGAAAGGAGGTATTGGCCTACTATACCACGCTGGCCAGACGGTACTGCTGTACTTTATACGGCTGATAAACATACTTAATTATTTCTAAATACATCTTACAGATAAATTACACCCATAGAACAAACGATCATGCTCATCCAACAGTTATTTGTCCTGGGTGGGAATCGAACACATGACTTCCAGCTTAGTAGTCACAGTCACTAACCGCTAAACCACCAGACCCGTCAATACTTTAAGACTTATACAAATATTTATATCTGCTAGTTTTGTACGATAGTTGCTGTACTTACCATTAAATAAAATAAAAATACAAAGTAAATACATATTATTGGTTTGTAAAAGTGGGTTCGGAGCTTCAGTACAATATAAATGAAATACAACATGAAAAGCTATGAAATTAATTATTACAATATCAGTTAATTAATGTTCCTAATGAAGTGTGTTATGATCTTACTTATATGAGTTCTTTAACTATTTTTTTTTATGTTGGTTAATCATTTAATTAAAGTAATACGAAAACTATAATCATCATCATCAACAGCCTGTAATAGTTCACAGCTGGACATAGGCCTCTCCTTAGAAAGGAGGTTTTGGCCTACTATACCACGCTGGGCAGACGAGTTGGTATAGGGTTTGTTTCAATCTTTCCTTCTCTTTGCAGTGTTGTTGTCCTACAGAGTTTTCTCCTTTCGTTGGCTCTGACAACACCCATCACCACACGGATTTCAAACCATTAATAATTTTAGCTCACCAAGATGCTGCACAGTTTCACATCATCATATCAACAGCCTGTTATAGTCAACTGCTGGACATAGGCTCTCCTTGGAAAGGAGATTTCGGCCTGCTAAATACGCTGGGCCGACGGGTTCGTATAGGGTTTGTTTCAAGTTTTCCTCCTCTTTGCAGTGCTGTTGTCCTGCGTACTTTGCTCCTTTAGTCGGCTCTTACGACACCCACGGGATGAATAGTACACTTCGTATTTTTAATCCGTAACACGTAATAATAATGGGAAATGAATTCATAAGGTAGCTTGCGCGCCTTGACCACTCTTTATCCTCTTCTTAACCTCCCTACAGCTCCTGCTTGTCTCATTTCACAGCTTAAACTACTATGTTCCAAAAATGACAGAGATCTTTGCTACATTAATAATCTTTTACTCCTGTGTCCAATACATACTATTTCTTCTGTTCATTCTTCTTCTTCTGTTCATTATCTATTCTACTATGGAATTCACATTCACATCCCTAAAGTTTTATACAGTGTATTATATGTTTATATATGTATGTGTATCTCAGTATGTATGTATGTATATCTGTCACACTGGTTCTGTCCATATCCTTAATTATTATTATCGAAACTTTTAAAACCTAATTTCTAGTGCACCTACTCAGACATTTCCACACCACCCAAAGGAAGACTGGGAGAAAATGCCTGTGGCATTAAGTTCGCCATTGTACATTGAAGTGTTGTTTGTGCAAAAAGAATTAAATAAATAATTGACTTAAGATCAAAATGTTAGCAAGTCGTGACAGCCAAAGTTTGAGAATTCTACAAAAACCAGCTAGCAGAAATATCCTATATATGTATATATATTTCTTAGCGTTCCATGGATTGCAGGTGCCGGATCCTTCGCGTGATAGATGGTGGCAATACATGCGACTTCGAATGCAATACACACAGTTCATCTAATATTTAAACATTTCAGAGCTATTACTAATTAGTTGCCTATAGGCTTCGTACTGAACTGGTTTGTGCTACTAAAATGTTTCGCTAGGCTAATTATAAATATGACATCATTTACTACTACTGAAGAATACTGAAGAAGCCTTGTCATGGTACAATGCGTATTTAGTTTTAAATGTGCATATTATATTAAAAGACTTTTTTTAATCTATTAAATAAGTAATGCAAACGTTTAAATATCTTTATTATATAACAGAAATGAGGTTTTAAGGCCATTTGAGAGCAGAAAAAAAATACGAACGAGCCATACAATAGTTGTATAACTATAATAATTTAGCATCTGACATACCACGTACCATCTTACAGCAAACTTTAGACCCAACGGGCTCTTTGATCGAATCAAATGGTGCGCACATTCGCGGCTATGCAGCACTTCTTGTTTCATTTCATGATTCCTGCTCCCATAGATTGTAGGAAAGGAAAGACGATGTTTGGATGATGTAGTAGTTACTACATAATGTTAGAAAATGTTCCTAGTTAGGAAGAAAAAACTTCCGCTTTCAATAACACACACACGCTAATAAGAAGAGAAAAGACAGAAGGTAATATGAAGCTGTTAATAGTTACCCGATTAAGTGATAGTCGGGCCATGCGTAGTTAAGATTCCATGGTTAATTATTACTAGTGTTATCTAGGTTTTTTTTTTGCAATTTTACTTAAATTGTAATAGTAAATTGTAGAATTTTATTTGATCCATCCATTTTTACCACCAGAACCCTGAACCTTCGAAATAACCTCTGCATTAACCTTTTACTGTTTTAAAATGTACAAATATTTTTTTAGTTAATGCGACTAGACCCTCCTACACGCCCACTACTGTAATTTCTGTACGCGAAGATCAACAGCAGTGTCCTAATAATAACACAAAAAGTTAAATTGGAGGAGTGGATAAAATAATATTTTTTTTTAGTCAATCATCATCATCATCAACAGCCTTTAATAGTCCACTGCTGGACTTAGGCCTCTCCTTAGATGGGAGGTTTTGGCCTACTATACCACGCTGGCCAGACGGGTTGGTATAGGGTCTGTGTCAAGTTTTCCTTTTCTTTGCAGTGCTGTTGTTCTGCGTAGTTTTTTTCCCTTAGTCGGCTCTTACGACACCCACGACGGATGAATAGGGGTGGTGACGCTTTGTATTCTTAATCCGTCACCACACGGTTTTAGTCAGTATTGGAATAAAATTAATGGTAGGGATTTTACATTAATATTTCTGCCATACTTGTAGATTTTATTATATTATTTGAATACCACGTACTATATCTTCACCTTTGACATACTTCGAGCCTTCACTGAATAACTTGCTATACAATTTTTCATCTTTTGAACTGCCCCTTATAAGTGTCTCTATTAAAACTTTCACTTCTGACTTAGCATCAATGCTCAAATTATAATCCAAAACATTAAAAATACTGTTAAAAAGTAATATTACAGATGATTCAGGAAAATGCCTCTGACCATTATTCCAACTTCTAATGCTTTTAACGACGGTATCAAATTCCATTGCTAGAAGATCATCATTCTCATACTGAAAGGCTCGATTTATAATATCAAGAATAATCCTCACAGCCTGAGTTCTTATCTTCATTTTCAAGTTTGGACTACTTATTATCTTGAACCTTTGAGTAAGAAGACCTCTTATTATCAATAATGTTTCTTGAAAGCCATTTAGATTATTTAACAGTTCGGCAAAATATGGCACAATAACAGTTTCCTTGTCATCTACATCAATGAAGCCATTGAAAAAGTCTTCGTTAGTTTTACCAAGCAGTCGTAAAGCCTTAACAAATGTACCCAGTTTTTCGTCTGATAGTTTCATAATTTCAACTAGAAAATCCGCCAAGTAATCGGTAAAAGCAGGATAAGGTCTGCAAATTTCATATTTATTACATATATGTCGCAATTCTTCTCTTTTTGTCATTACAACTTGTCTAAAAATTATTTGGCTCAAACTTTGTACATCAACCTCGTGTGAGATATTAAAATTATTCAATTCATTGTTTGCATTTTTATTAGTAGAATTATTAGTTTCATTGATGTTATGGATCAATTTCGCTGTAGTAATTGCAAAGTTTAGAATTTTCTTTTGCTCTCGATAAAGAAGTCTGCAGGATGTTTCTACCATATCCAGAAAAACGAATTCCTCGTCAATTGTAAATTTTGCTTTCTCACCCATGACATGCTCTAAGTATTTTTGGATTCTTGTTTTGTAATCATCAGTTACAATCTCAATCTGTTGTGTGAAGTTCTTTTGTAATTTCATTCCTTTAAATATTTGTTTAGCTGCAGATTTAAGTGTTGTCACACCTTTTGACTTAACATGGTTTACGAACTCAAAGAACTTATCAGATTTATTCATTCCTACTGTGTTTGCCCTCATAATGGATGACCTTGAGAATTTTTTTTGAAGATTTGGCTTAGATCGAACACTAATCGGATGAGGTTCTTCAGTGTAGTCGTTTTTAGGTTGGTTCCCAAACTATTAAAGAACCCATTTTTCAACCTCACAACTCCTTCCATTTCAATATCAAATGATAAGGAAAGTGATATTCCTAAAATGAAAAAGATTCATCAATATAAAGATGTTTTCAAAAATTTTAAAGTACCGACTCCTGATAATGCTGAAAATGTCTACAAATGTTTTGCACAAATACAATATAAGTAGTAAGTAATGTACGAGCATGGGTTAATAGGACTGTGTGGTGTAACTCGGATGGACAAGGTCAGGAATGAGTATATACGAGGGAGCCTCAAAATAGCGCCATTGCATGTAAAGTTATGAAGTTATAGGTTATCTTGGTATGGACATTTCATGCGGAGGGATGAGGTAAATGTGACGAAGAAAGTGTCTGGTATGGGAGTTGGAGGATTTTCAGAATACAGCTGGTCACTTTTCAACTGTCACTGCATATGCACTGGTTCTCCTTGCCTCTACACTCCATAAAATTTGTGTACATTTCACAGATAATACAATATTCTGAAAGGTAATATAATAATATTCTTGGACACACCACAATACTGCGAAATGGTAACTAGTTTTGTAAAGAAGTTGCATATTGCAGACTATTAATGTTGAAAAGAATGGCTGTGTCTGTGTGAATTATTCATTGCGCGAGACAGGATCAGTATTTTTTTATAGACAACTCCCGCATTAGGAATATATCATGTGTCGCGGGGGACTTTAAAAACATACATGAAACGGACACAAAGAACACCCAGACTGAGAACAACAATTTGTGAATTACACAAAGTGTCGCCCCATGTGGGGATCGGACCCATAACACTCAGCGTAGTAGTGATTGGCGTAGCGACCGCTTAAACCACTACGCAATCCGTGCAGTCAGTTTTCAGTAGTTCGATTGGTTTTCGCTAGATGGTGCTAAAGTCACTTTTTTCTGTATGTTAATTTCATCATAATTTCAAGTATCTCATACCATCTGGGTTATATTCTCATCTTTAATTAATCATTTTATATCCTTACCTTGCAATATTATACAAAATCTAACTAAATACATTTTTGTAAATCACAAGTAAATTATGCAAAGTGCAGAATAAATAATCTTGGCAACTTCAATAATAATAAAGGTTATCAGGTCATTAAAAACAAAATGTAAGTAAAAACTCACAAATGGCCTTATGTAAGACGTAAACTGTTTAATGAATAGTGCAATATTAGAGATAATAATAATAACCACAGCTCTTACAGCTCTCCGGGGGACAGCGATGGTTTGGCTCGACCGGAGTGATACCATAGCACAGTTTGGTTTTGACCGAAAAAACCGAACATCCTTACTTTATTACATCTATAGATAAACAAAATCGTTTACGATAAAAGAGTAGAACTCCCGTGGAACAATTTTGATTTTGACAAAGTATTAATTCTTTGGTTTTTTTTAATAAGTTTACTTTGAAAAATAAAACATTATAAGACATGTAACTATATTAACAAACATGATTGTCTACAAAAAATATATAATTTATATTCTATGCTTAAGAAGAACGGAGAAATTTGTTTTTTTTCTTGATTTAAGTTTTATATTTAAAAAAAAGTAGTATGAGGAATTGGGATCCCATTTTCGCCATGGTTACAGTTTTTCAAAATATGCATTAACAAATTAAAACTTTCATTCAACTACTTTTTGTGTATTTTTTTATGAAAAACTCTATGTATTTACATTTTTTGTAGAGAGCGTCAACTGGACAAAATTTAGGACACTCCATCTTCGCTTGTTTCGTCAATAAATTTAAAAGCGTCAAGCCAAATAAAATGTCCTAGTTCGTTTATGGATACTCTCGCAGAATGGTGAGTATCGGCTGCGGTGCTATCCACAGCTTCATTGTTGCCACTCGTGGACCAACATGAGGGTTGACGCCCTCATGTTCTCCTCGCATTAAGTCAGCCGGTCGGAGCCTGGAGAGACATCCCTCAATAGATCTTGTCAGATCCTGTTGAGGCGAAGTGACGCCATGGTCTTTTAACCCCGATTCTGCAGGCCATGTGTTTAGGTATAGGGTTTAGCGTAAGCCTAGTGAAGGTTGGCCCCTTTCCTATACCACATATATCCCGTTGAATATTGTTTTGTCAAAGTACAAGATTTTTTATATGGTTAAAATAAATGTTGTCTTTACCTTTCGTTTTTAAAACCAGGTTATAATTTGGAGAGTACTTTAATTCAACTTTTTCTATTGGTGTAAATACGTGTCACTTTGAGCCATATATTATAAAACAAAGTAAAGGAATTTACAACCCTAACACAAAAATTTTAGAAGCCTATAACTTCATTATGCTATGATATATAGACACAGTTGTTAAACTACTAAACATCAATTTGATATGGACACTGAATCCAAATATGCTCAAATAGGTTTGAAAAATAATAATTAAGGATCATTCAGGATATAACCATAATTTTGCGTCATGAATAAGTTAATTTAAGTTAAGTTAAGTTAAGTTTTAAGTTAAGTTAATTATAGCTGAGCAACAACAAAATCAATATGTATTAGAAAAATTATACACATTTTGAGTTTCAATCCTTTTTATGATTTCTATGTAATACTATAGAAATAGTTGATTTAATAAAAAAAACATCAAATTGATACAAAATTGCCGCACGGGACTTCTACTCTTCTATTAAAAAAGATTTCGCTTATCTATAGATCTATCTTATTATAACATATAAACCATTTTCAGACATCTGACACACAACGCCATCTAGTTTCAAACTAAGCAGACCTTGTATTTTGTTAGCTAGATTGACTGATGGAATATTTTTTGTAAATACACACATATTATACATAGAAAACACCCAAACTCCAAAACAAATATTTGCAGATCACACAAACATTTGGTCCGGCCTGGGAATCGAACCCGAGACCTCACCTCAGCAGTCGCTTACGCTACCACTGCACCACCGAGGCAGTTGCATATAATTAATATAATTAATGTACCTATAGTGCACGTCCGTTACCTTTTCTTCTCTAGCTATAAATTAGTGGACAATAGTGTGGGTTATACCTACGTTTTAGAAATGTAAATACTAAATAACTTATAAAGACTGCAATGATACTTATATGACTGCACGGATGACGTAGTGTCGCCATTCCGCTTCCTACTGCGTCGAGTGTTGTGGGTTCAAACCCCACATGGGACGACACTTTATGTGCTCCACAAATTGTTGTTTTGAGTCTGGGTGTTCTTTGTGGTCCGTTTCATGTATGTTTGTAAAGTATGTATGTTTGTAAAGTCCCCCACGGCACAGGATTTATGCCTAGTGCGGGAGTTGTCTTTTTAAGAAAAGCAAAAAAAAAGGTAAAACTGTTTTTTTGTCCCAAATAAATAAAATAAAATAGAAAACAAGGATGTCCGTTTTTTCGGTCAAAAATAATTATACTCAAACTTGTCTCTCATGAGTTGCAGGTGGCCATGGGCAGCCGTAGTCACTTCTCATCAGGCCTGTCTAGATTGCTCCTTAAATATAAAAATAAATAAATCTAAGATCACAGAATCAATACACATTAGGTATGAAGTTAACATTAGGTGTATGTTAGTTGTACCAGGGACTTCCTTTCTAGGGTATACCTGGTTCCCCGGCTATTAGTACCCGAGACGGCGTGCGGTTTTAATCGGTTCGTGTCCGACATGCCACCGACAGGTGGTATCCGAGGGGATTTCCGCACGGAATAAAAATGTAAAAAAGTGTATGTTAGTTAACCAAGTCATCAGTTTTAATCTACTGTAAATTGAATTTAATTTTATCGATTTCTTAACCCTGATTAATTATTATTTGTTCTTTTTTTCTCTTAAAAAGGACAATATATACTGTGTCGCCTAGGACTTTACAAACGTACATAAACGGACACAAACAACACCCAGAACTCACAGAACAACAATTTGTGGATCACACAACATGTCGTACCATGTGGGGATGGAACCCAGAACTTTAACCGTGGGAGAGCCATGCTTCGGCACGAATGGGCCGGCTCGACCGGAGTGATACTACTGCCTCACAGAAAACCGGCGTTAAGCAATACTTTCGTTGCCTTTCACTGAGTGAGTGAGGTTACCGCAGCCTAAATCCTCCCCCCCCCCCCCCCCCCACTGTTGACATCCCCCTGTTGACTCGAGCGGGAGAGACTCCAAGGGCGGCAATGCACTTGTGACTTTTGAGTTACAGATGTACATGGGCGACGGTAGTTGCTTACCATCAGGTGACCCGTCTGCTCGTGTTTCTCCTTATACCATAAAAATACTCAGCGTAGTAGGAAGCCGCGTGGCAGTGCGACCACTTAAAACGCTTTGCCATCCGTGCAGGCAATTATTATATTTTTGTGGATTATTTTTTATGGATCGTCAAAGTTTAAAAGCTAGTAAATCAATATATCTATTTAAAGCAGCTATTTTAATATGCAATAAATCTATTTTGGCTCGGAAGCTGTGAGGGTCTTCATGTTAACACGCACACAAGCGGGTGACGCATATTTTCAATGATATTATTATTTTAATGCTTTATTAAGTAGTTGATATGTTTGCGTTGGTAATTGGTCTGATTGCACTTTATTACGGTTAAAGACATTTATTTTTTTTTCTCAAAAGATTACAATTAATCACTTGCAGAGAAAAATACAATACTAAACAAAAATATATTACTTAATTAGCGTAGTTAGTTAGTAAGGTAGTTGTGAAAAGTTTTTTGTGAGTAGGACAGATTCAATACTTTCTATTAATTACCTAATTATGCGATTTTTCATTAGAATTAAATTGAATTATTTATTGAGCTGATATAAAGCTGACACATATAATCCGTGTGGTGACGGGCTAAGAATACAGAGTGTCACCACCCCTATTCATCCCGTGGGTGTCGTAAGAGCCGACTAAGGGAACAAACTACGCAGGACAACAGCACTGCAGAGAGAAGGAAAACTTGATACAAACCCTATACCAACCCGTCTGGCCAGCGTGGTGTAGTAGGCCAAAACCTCCTTTCTAAGGAGAGGCCTATGACCAGCAGTGGACTATTGAAGGCTGCTGATGATGATGATGAAAGCTGACACAGACCCTCAGTATTACTTATTGTGTATGGGCTTGGCACCGACTTCAAAGAGAGTAGAAGCTAGCTAGTCCTCTTTCTAAGTACTGTTTTCGAACAGAGAAAGAGAAATCGGTTCAACTTAAAAAAAAGGATTTATGGTACGATTATTTGTGCAAGTGCATTGTATGATTGAAATGAGTAGATATGATATTTAAAACACTAGGTACGTACTGTAATGTACCTATATTACCAAACTGTAAGATTTTAGATTAGGTATATATATTTTACATATTAAATATATTTACCAAATAAAAAAGAATTTGCCAAATCGGTTTTCAAATTAAATATTTTTTAGGTAACACACATGAAAATAATTGCATTACAATTCATCAAAGACAGCAAAATATACATACAAGCTAAAACACGTTGTCGGGCTGCAAAATTTTAGGGTTTCCCCTAATTTCTACGGGATCCCATAATCAGATCCTGATTTAGTGGTAATGGGATCACCTCAGAGTATACCCTCTTGAATACAAAAAAAAATTTGATATAAAATCTACAATTGACGGAGATATCGATATAACAAATATTTAAGAAAAATACAGTCGAATTGAGAACGTCCTCTTTTGTGTTTTTGAAGTCGGTTAACAAAACTAACATCTGTGACATTTTTTTATTTTCGATATAACAATTCCGAAAACCAATGTAATGTTATTATTTAGCATTATTATAATTTTCCAAAATTATCACACTTCTATTTTAGAATGTCTCTTCGGCAGCAAACACATTTTTGGAGCCATCACGAAACAAATCTTTGTATTCTTCTTGCTCTGTTATTTTACCTGTTAGTATAGTTTCAATTAAATATGGAATAAAATAATCTCCGCTTCTTTTTAAAACTTTAAATATACTATTCATAAAGTCTGATATATCATCGCTAGACTCATCTTCTGTTTTCACTTTAGACCATCTCTTAACAGCATTTATTGCCACATTGAAATTCAAGTCGAACTGCTTGCCATGATCAAAACTTAACACTTTCTCCAAGGTATCCAAAATAGTCCGTACAGCTTGAATTTTTCTTTTCCTCTTCAGATTTGTAATGTGAACTATTTTATATCTATGAATGAGGAGTGCTCTTAACACCTCCAAGGATTCTTTTACGTTACCAGGACTTGCAAAAGCTGAGCTTATTATTTTTATAATATTGTCATTTGCATTTATAAGTTCCACAAAATCTTCATCAAAATTTATAGTTTCGTTTAATAGTTCTACAAAGTTTTGAAACTCATAACTTTCTAATGAAATCACTTCGCTTATAAAACTGTGAAAATGAAGAATAAAAGCAGAATAAGGTTTACAAATTTGATGGTGATTACAAAGATACAACAATTCTTCTTTTTTAAATTGAACTGATTGTGTAAAGATTATCCCGCCCACTTTTCCAGTACCATTTGTTGAATTATTAACATTGGTGTTGATTATTTCGGGTGCCATATCTTGAAAGTGTTTCCTTTGTTCTCTTATAATATACCTATAGGCAGTATTTAAAACATCTAGAAACATATATACTTTATCTACAGCAAGCTGTGATTTTAGTACCGTTATATAATTTTCAGTAGCGTAATTTTCTATTTTCTTTTCGTAATTATCTGTAGCTAATTTAACGTCTTTTGTGATATTCTCGTTTAGGTTTATTTCTTTCGTTATTTGCTTAATTGTATTTTTGATCACATCTTCTCCTCTTTTTTTGAGACGATCGATATATTCTTGAAAAGGCTTTAATATTTTTTCCGTTGAAATTTCTAACAAAACAGTAGTGGAGGAAATATGTTCAGGTATTTCAAGCTGTTCGGTAAACGATCTCATCGAAGTTTGAGTTTCTAATTCCATTATAACTCCTATTCCTGATTCTAATGCTAAAGAAACAGATAGTGCTGAAAATGTTCATTACACTTAAAAAAAAGATAAAAAGTTAAGGCAATTATTTTCAATTATTCACAAATAAACAAGTGTAAAATAATCTAAGACATCAAATATCTAATCTCCTTAACAACTTCATAAATATTTGATAGAATGTATTCGGAATCAACAACTAGAGAACGCCTGCTTAGTTATAAGTTGATGGACATTGGAAGATGTAACAGCATCCTGGTCAGTCCTTTAGATACATCTAAGGCTATTTATACTTTGTATTTTGAATATTTCAGTTTAGTTTAAAACAAAGAATGGCTATGATGGAGCGACATAGTGACAATTGTGGCTAAGCTCCGTAAATAAACATAAAAAAAACATAAAATAAGAGTGATAGGAAAATAACTCTTTTGGATTCATCTTATATAAACTACCACGATAATATTATTAAATTTAAGGAGTTTGAAATTTGAGCAAGAGAAGAAGAAGGAATGGAAAGAGCAGGAGGAGAAGGATATACATCTTCTTTGGTAAACTTAACGAAAAGTGTATTAGTATAAGAAATTGTCAAAGCCTTCTAAATAAATAAAATCTTTAAGAATAACTATAAAGACTTCCTCTTAATAATGAACTTAAACCTGCAAATCCTAAGAACAGTCAGCGTCATACGTTTTATTAAATATTTTCTATTTTATCCTCCCGCACTAGGAATACTTTACAAACATACATGAAATGGAAACAAAGAATATCCAGACTCAGAATAATAATTTGCAGATCTCACAAACCACCAACCACCCATGTGGGGATCATTCCCCCGACACTCAGCCAACGTTACTACGCCTATGCGTTCAGGCAGTGAACGAAATCGAGGGCTTTTAAAAACAACAGTTTAAAATCAACATTATCATCGACAGCTTTTAGAAAGGAGTTTTTGGCCTACTATGTGTGTAATAGCATTTGAGTTTTATTGTCTTGTATTACACTAGTTACTTTTCTTTCTTAAGTAGAGCCAGCCCATATCTGCCGAAGTATGGCTTTCCCAAGGTTTCTAGAACATTATAATAATAATTTTTAGAATTTAAAAAATCTGTCATTTACAGAGAATGATTAAAAATTAAATTTAGTACAGGTCTTTAGTCTTACCTTGTAGTACTATAAATAAATTAATCCGGGACATAATTCTTTACTCAATAAATTATCAGAAGTACAACATATTATGAAAAGATTTTTTAAATTTATCAGCAAGGAATTCGTTACGAATGTAAGGTAGTTTATTTCGACTAATACGTTTGATATGAATACAATAAAAATTACAGCTATGGCTATGAAACAATAAAGAATTGTAATGTTTTTACGAGTACTGCTTACATAAATGTACATATATGTGTGTGTGGGAATTCCTTTTTTTTATTTTTTAAAAGACAACTTCCGTATTAGGAATATATCCTGTGTGTGTGGACACAAAGAACACCCAGACTAAGAACAACAATTTGTGGATCACACAAAGTGTCGTCCCATGTGGAGTTTCAACCCACAACACGCGGCGCAGTAGGAAGCGGTGTGGCGACCGCTTAAACCACTACGCCATCCGTGCAGTCGAAGTCGATATTAGTCGATATAAACTCCAAGCACTCAATGAATGTATAGATTTTAAGCAAAATTTTAAGTCTGTCGATATTTTTAAGCCTTCTATATTTCCTTTTATGTTTTCGAGCAAGTAAGTGTAAGCGTTGTAAGCAAGTAACAAAATAATCTTTTACTTTTTGCAAAAAAAAAAAGGCAACTCCCGCATTAGGAATAAGTGTATCCAAACATACATGAAACGGACACAAAGAATACCCAGACTCAGAACAACAATTTGTAGATCACACAAAGTGTTGTCCCATGTGGGGATCGAACCCATAGCACTTAGCGTAGTAGTAAGCTGCGTGGCGACTGCTTAAACCACTACGCAATCCGTGCAATCTTAAAAGCTCCCTAATATAAAATTTATAAATAATAGCGAAAATGTCACAAAATCAAGTTGGACACTTATTAAACAACAAATTAGAATACTGAAAATTGAAACCCTATTGAAAACTATGATTAACCATATCATTTATAACAATAACTCAATTAAATTACCGACAGATTTAGCAATAATTAAAAAAATATATATATTACTAAAAACTACAGATCTTGTCACCAAATATCATACAATATTAATTTCTATAGTAACCTCAATAGTATTTCAGTTAGTTAGTAGTTTTCTTTTTTCCAGTAGATAGAGTTGGAATTATATTCATAGTAAGAAATTTGAAGAATAAAAATAGCTCTAGATTTGATAACATACCTATGAACATCAGAAAATTAAGCATAGGCCAAAACCTCCTTTCTAAGGAGAGGCTTATGTCCAGCAGTGGACTATTAAAGGCTGTTGATGATGATACATAGTGGATGCCTTTATACACGTAACAAACCTCATGCTTGTTGTTATCCCGTATGATTTAAAAATAGCAATAATTAAACCATTACATAAAAAAGGATCCAAACAGGATATGAACAACTACAGGGATGTTGCACTATTGCCGACCTTCTCAAAAATATTTGAAAAGGTTATGCACAAGAGACTAACACATTTTTTACTAGTAATAACATACTAGACGCAAATCAATTTGGGTTACAAAAAGAAAAACCACTTCACTGGCCATTTTCAAATTGTTTCAAAATGTATGGGAAAGTATGAACTGCAAAAGGCGATGTTGCGCTTTGTTTATAGATATGTCGAAATCCTTCGATTGTCTGAAATATGACATTATATTTACCAAGATTTAACTGCGTTTTTTGTAATTGTGATTAATTTGTTTTGCCAAGATTCAGATCGTGAAATGTAAGGAATTTTACAATTAATTAATTTTTAATAAAAAACGACTATTTTATTTTTTAAATCTATTGTATTTACATAATGAACAAAACATGAATTACCTTCCGAATGAGAATACAGATAGGTTGGTTTATTTTAGTTGTGTTACAAATGTCATGTCCTGTGCTTTAACTAAAATAACATTGATGAAGTATTAAACCTCAGGATAAATATTTTCACAGCTCAATATTTGACGAAATTAATCCAAGGAGAAAAATATTTACTAACGCAAGAACTACACAGCTCTTATAAAAAAAACGAACGATTCTCAGTAAAAATCTCTATAATAATAATAATATTTACAGACATCTGATACAGGTCATCTAGAGTCAAACTAAGCAGAGCTTGTACTATGAAAGCTAGATTGACAGATAGAATACTTTTATACTTTTTTTTATAAATACATAATATTAAACTAAGAACGAAATAAGAAAATAAAATAAAACCTGAAAATAAAGATTCGTCGTAGTCTACCAGTTCGACATAAGATAACAAGAACATTTTGACGCCATCTAGACAACATTGACTAAAGAACTCGTCAAAAAAAATTCGACATAAATGACCTAATATTGAATGACTTTGCACTGTCATCTATTAAGCTTGTTACGTTAACATACACGCCTCTGGATCCCGACACAAACCACAGCTTGTTAAACCCATCATAATCAGGCTCCCCAGTCACTATAACTTCAATTAAAGCGCCTTTTAAGGAATTTTCACTCAAAGTTGAGGTTCTAAGAATCTGGTTAAAAAAGAGTTTTACAACAGTTGTTGGGGATGACGATTCATCTTTATTCCATGTTTTTATTGCGTCAATAGTAGTTCCATAATCAAATAAAAGTTCAACATCATGGCTATGATGAAAAGTTTTATCCATAACTTCTAGAAGAATTCTAGCTGCTTGGATTTTAACAGACAGTGCCTTGTCAGGACAAACTAGTATCTTAAATCTTTGGTTTAGGACCGCTTGCACTGCACTCAAGCACTTTTTTACACCAGTTTTTACACATAAATCTTGAGCTACTTTAATAATATTTATATTTCTTTCTTGTACTCTGTAGGTTATAATCTGGAAATCGTTATTGGTTTCTAATATATTCTTTAAAAGATACATAAATGTTGTTAACTTGTCATCAGATAGTTTCAGTAATTCAATTATAAAATTTTCAATGTAATCAGTAAACGCAGGATATGTTGCGCAAACTTCATATTTTTTACAAATGTATTTCAATTCTCCTTTTTTGTCCTGTATATATTGTTTATTTATAATATCCACAACAAGTTGGCTTTTCTCGACGTTGTCTTTTGTCGAATTAATTTCCTTAGTTACTGTTTTTAGTAAGTGCTGCTGGGCACGGTATAAATATTTGCAAGCAGTTTCTAATATATTTCGAAACAAGAATTCATCATCAACGAGAAGAGTAGAATTCTGTTCTATGCGTCCGTATGTTTCAGTCACATGATTACAGTAGTTTTTTATTGTCGTTACAAATTTTTCACTAATCTCATTGACTTCTTTAGTTATTTCTTTTTCTACATTTAATTTTTTTATTATTATCTTGCCAATCTGTTTAAACGAATAAAGACCAAGATCTTTAAGATGTTCTACGTATTGGTCAATTCCTTCAATTAAATTTGTTTCCATTTCAAATTGTAAAGAGAGGCTTAAACCTGGAAATGCAGGAATAATTTTTATTAATGGAACTATCATTTGTTACTGCTACTGAACTGCTTATATTACAGCTTTCGTGTTACGATATAATTAAATTTTCCTAGGTTCTAATAGAGTAAAACAAGAAATATATATCTATATAATCTATATATAAATATACAGGGTTACCGGGTAATACGACCTTAATACTTCAAGTGATTGCAGTTGCCATCATTTTTAATAAATTTCACTAGAAAACCCATATCCCAAAAATAAGCATATTCAAGATATTGAACTCTTAAGATTTGTTATAAAATCGCCGAAATTTTGCCTAATACAATTTTTTTAGAACTTATTTCCTTTATTTTAATGCTTTTTTTACAGTTTTTGTGTAGTTGATAAATCGTTTAATAATTTAATTACTAAAATTGTAGTTAACTTAACAAACAGGGCTGAAGTAGATGGTTAATAATAGGAAAAATCAATAAACTTGCTATAAAAAACTTGCAAATGTTTTTTTTAAATAATATTTGACAAAGAAAAAAAACTGCAGATTTACTGCTGCATTTACTGCTTAACAAGGTATAATAGTCTGGGATAGAAGAAGAATAGAAGTTTATTTTTAAGTTAAGTTTAAGTTTATTCAATATGCTGATCGTTCATTAGTTAGAAAAATCAGAAGAAAAAAATCTTTTCCTGTGTTATTCTTATGGAAAATCGAAAAGTGCGATGCGCACAACCTTAATATTGATATTAAGTGCTCATATTTTCAGATTCATATTTTGGCACCTAAATGAAAAAAACTAAGATTTTTTTTAAACGCAGTGCATTGCAGTACATGATTTATTAAAGGTTTTTTTTCAGAAAAAAATAGAGACGAACGAAATACCTTCCTTACCTTGCAATAAAACGAATAAATAAAACATTTGCATCGTCGTACGTAGTTTTAAAGCTGTACTAAAATATATTTGAACAGTAGTCATAACAACCTACTTATCAGATTTTCACTGCTAATTAAATTAACATCGTAACTATAGCAAAAGCAATGTTGTGCACAGTATTCTAAACCTTAATTTTTTCCAATCGTAATATTTTTAGATCCATTATTATTTATTGTATACGTGTAGTGTCGTGTTAATTAGAGTTTTTTTCTGTGTGGAAATCCCCTCGGATACCACCCAACGGCGGTTATTTCTGTTACAGAGCCGCAAGGGCTCTCGTCTCCGGGTCCCACGGTGGAGTTCCGGCCAGGAGACTAGCCGCTATTAACTATATTCAATAGGATATAGTTTTAGTGGGTCTTGTATATTCATATTGTATTAAATTTGTATCAATAGGAATTATCTTCATAGTTTGTATTTATTTTCCGTGTGGTGACGGATTAAGAATACAGAGTGTCACCACCCCTATTCAACCCGTGGGTGTCGTAAGAGCCGAATAAGGAGCAAACTATGCAGGGCAATGGCACTGCAGAGAGAAGGAAAACTTGAAACAAACCCTATACCTAGTTGTTCTGAGTCTGGGTGTCCTTTGTGTCCGTTTCATGTATGTTTGTAAAGTCCCCAGCGACACAGGATTTATCCTAGTGAGGAAGTTGTCTTTTTTAAAAGAAAATAAAAAAGAAATTACATTCAGATTAAACATAACAAAACGAACACAACGCCACCACCGGAAGAATGAAACACTACAAAAATCATCGTTCTAAAATTCACTATGAAATTTTCAAATTTATTTTTCAACAAAGACAACAATTTAACCAAACTATTTGATAAATTCTAGTACTCATTAATTATAATGCACGCAGCGGCCATGATACAGCGCCTTAGGGTCCTTACACATTGTATATTATTTACGGTTAGGTCTGGACAGCTTTGCGAGTAGTTAGTATTGCCCCTTAGGTCATCTTAAGGATGGCACTTAGTAAGGTTTTAAGGTTTAACGAGTCAAAACAAAAGAATTAATTTAGTAGTTTTAGCGAGTTAAGTTAGAAGACAGAAGTTTTTTTTTTAATATTTTGGACATCTAAAACACAACATCATCTAGTTTCGAACTAAGCAAAACTTATACTGTGAAAGCAAGACTGACTGATAGAATACTTTTTTTTTTTGTAAAAACATACTTATTATGCATAGAAAATACCCAAACTCAGATCATACAAACATTTGGTCCGACCCGGGAATCGAACCCAAGAACTCAGCACAGCAGTCGCAAACTACCACTGCGGCAGTCTATAGGCAGTAAATTATATTAGAGTGAATGTTGATTAGAATCATTGATTTGCAGTAATTATAGAGAGTATAATCCATAATTTCTACAGACACCATTTGCTCCTACTGTACGTCAAATACCGTGATTGTTTATTTGCAGGCTCCAGTATATAACTGGTAGGTAGTATAGCATGCACTCCGTCCACCTAAGGGTATACATTTAAATTTAATATACAAAAACGGATGACAAAACATGTTAATTTCCGTAATACAATTAAGACAAATTCTGAGAATGACAACCCTGATGATTCGCAACGGTAAGGGTTCGTGTGCATTGCGTAAGCGCACGCAAAGGGCATCAGGTTATATACAAGTTCAAGACATTTATTATTTATCATATTTCAGTTTCTAAATTTTATAGACAAATATAATCATACCTAGGCAAGGAATATAACTTAAGTTTTGACTATCGTCTTTCGTAGAGTTTTGACTGTCGTGTTTCGTAGCCCACTCGGTCCTTGTGCAATCTATTTTGCCTAAAAGTGATTCGAAAAATCTTTCGAAAATTGAAAATTGATATGAAACAAAGAAACATTATCTGTGTGGTGACGGATTAAGAATACAGAGTGTCACCACCCCTTTTCATCCCATGGGTGTCGTAAGAGCCGACTAATGGAGAAAACTACGCAGGATAACAGCACTGCAAAGAGAAGGAAAACTTGAAACAAACCCTATACCAACCCGTCTGGCCCGCGTGGTATAGTAGGCCAAATATTCATTTCTAAGGAGAAGCTTATGTCCAGCAGTGGACCAGTAAAGGCTAATATAATGATGATTGATGACCAAGAAACGAAGCGGGTGCTAATAGCATGCGCGACAACACACATTAAAACTTGAGATAATACTACATCTATCGTCAAGGGGAAAAACTAGGTATTAAAATCTAAAACTATGCCAACATAAGCCATTCACTCTTAACCAACCCGTCCGGCCAGCGTGGTATAGTAGGCAAAAACCTCCTTTCTAAGGAAAGGCATATGTTAAGGCTGTTATGCTGTTATAAGGCTGTTTATGTGATGATGATCATGCGGTGCCAGAACTGCCCAACTAATATCAAATACCTTGCAAGCATCCAGAAGCTACTATAATTGCTTATGCTAAGACAAGCATTGACACTTATCTATTGCAAAGCTAACCACCTCTAAAAATGGATACAAATACTCCACCAGTGTTTTCTAAACGCTGTGCAGTAGATTGGCTGAATCAGTTGTACGACTAAACTTCAGTTCCCCATTGATTGCGTCCAGCCTTCTAAAAGAACTGTATCGATATACATACGATAAATTAAAGGACCTATGTCACCACTCCCGGGTACTCGTATTAAATTCAGTAACATTAAGATAGGGAAATATCTATCTATGATATATAGATAGATATTTCCCTATCTTAATGTAATAATCCCTAAATTAATACATAAAAGTGTTAAGTTGGTGTGTGTACACTGCAAAAACTGAAACAGTTCGGCACCGATTGTATGTTAGTAGTATATTCTTATTACATTATTTATTTTAATGTTACTTTTATATACAAATAACGTATAAGGGACAAAAAACACTTAGTATGTAGTTATACATTTAAACAAATAGCATAAATCGATACACTTCTTTCAGAAGGCTGGACGCAATAAATTCTGAACTGAAGTTTAGTCGTACAACTGATTCAGTCAATGTACTCGGCTAGTTCGGCGCCGATTGACCTGAAATTTTGACACGATATATATACCGTTTTAAAGATTGTTTTTAGCTATTTTTGCGTTAGGTTTATTTTTTATTAAGCTATTGCATAGCTTCTATCGCGGGCCTTGAGCGTGGAGACCGAATTCAGAAATTCCGTAACGAAAATAACCTAACACCCCCCCACTCCGACCGGCACAGCGGTGATACTTTTTAGTTTTGCCATCTATCGATGAATAGCAGAACTTTTATTAATGTAATAACATCCACATACAAATCCCCCCCCCTTCCACCAAAAAAATTATAATTGCATTGAGTTCCCTTCAAAATACCTCCCCCTCTCTCCCCTCAACTTTTTTTCTCAGTAATACAACTACAATGTGGGACAACGAAGCATGACAGGGTACAGCTAGTATTTTACAAAATCAGCTCATTATAAGCCTAAACTTAAGACTTCCCTAAACCGCATTACGTTGTAACCGCACTTTACTTTGAGAATTAATGTTATTTTACCGTGGGAAAGCCATGCTTCGGCACGAATGGGCCGGGTAGACCGGAGTGATACCACGGACTCACAAAAAAACCGGTGTTAAGCAATTCTTTCGTTGCCTAAGAGCTTAGGAGACATTCGATTAAAGTGATATCTTCAGTTTATACGTAACAGAATACGTAGTTATTTTCATTGCAATATTTTTTCAAGGAATAGAAATGACATATGACCACTTACGACATTAGGATTGTGGGAATGCCCAACTTTTTTTTTTTTAAAGACAACTCTTTAGGAATAAATACGCATTAGGAATATATCCTATGTTGCGGAGGACTTTACAAATATACATGAAACGGACACAGACAACACCCAGACGTAGAAAAACAATTTGTGGATCACACAAAATGTTGTCCCATGTGGGAATCGGACCCACAACACTCAACGTAGTAGTGAGTGGCGTGGCGACCGCTTAAACCACTACGCCATGCGTGTAATCAATAGGATCTGGCTACACAAGCAACTGATGGTATGTATGGCCAAATCCTGTAATAGCTGTATCAATATACAATATACTAGCTAACCCGGCAAAC